TAGCAGTGGTTCTCAACCTTCTGGCCCTTTAAATACAGTTCCTCATGTTGTGACCCCAACCATAAAATTATTTTTGTTGCTACTTCATAACTGTAATTTTGCTACTGTTATGAATCATAATGTAAATATCTGATATGCAGGATGGCCTTAGGCGACCCCTGTGAAAGGGTCGTTTGATCGCCAAAGGGGTCATGACCCACAGGTTGAGAACCGCTGTCCTATAGGACTATGAAATCTTTGGCAAGGAGGAGAGGCTAAACCATATAAATGAATAATAACACAAAACAGTACTTAAGAGCTTGTTCAAATGACAATAATGTCTTTTCCTAGTAAGACTTCAACAATTATCAGATTCACCACCAATTTAATAACATTTCTGGGGAAAGGAAGCTATGCCACTAAATGCACATATAAAACACAACACACATGCAACAAACATTTATGAAGTGTCTACCATGTCACACCAATACCAGCACGGAGCTACATGTGACCAAAAAAATAGCTCCCTGATTTTATGAGGTTTACGCTTTAAAAGAGCAGACAGACACTAACTGTCGTATATGCTGTGCCACCCAAATCCTCTTTCAGGACTAGTAGGGATGGTGGATAGATGGATAGATATGGATGGACAGGTGGACAGATAGATAAAATAAATACATGGTCTCATATATTAAATAAATTAAATTTGTAGTCACAAACATTCCTAAAGAAATCTCTAAGCCTAGATGGTTTCACTGGAATATTCTACCAAACATTAACAGAATTATTTATTCGGATAGCATTATCCTGACAACACACCAAACAAAGATATTTCAAGGATACTATACAACAATATACCTCATGAGCATAAATTCAAAAATTCCTAACAAAATATTGTTAGCAAATCAAATTCAGCAATGTATAAGTAGGATAATACATATGATCAAGTGGAGTTTATCCCAGCAATGCAGGTTTGGTTCACAATAGAAAATCTATCAAAATAATTCCTCATATTAACAAACTAAAAAAGTATACAATAATATCAAAAGATGTGAAAAAAACAGTTTACAAAACTCAAATCCATTTGTGAGGGGGCTGGGAACCAATGCTCAGCAATTTAGGAATACAAAGAAATTCTGTCCACCCAATAAAGAATATCGACAAAAACTCTATACTAACACCATATTTAATGTTCAGACACTAATTGCTTTCACCCAAAGACTGTTCACAAAAAAGTCTGCTCACACTACTCCTATTCAGCATTGTACTGGAAGGCCCTACACAGATCAATTAGGCAAAAAAAAAAAAGGAAGGAAGGAAGGAAGGAATGAAGGAAGGATGGAAGCAAGGAAGGAAGGAAAGAAAGAAAGAAAGAAAGAAAGAAAGAAAGAAAGAAAGAAAGAAAGAAAGAAAGAAAGAAAGAAAGAAAGAAAGAAAGAAAGAAAGAAAGAAAGAAAGAAAGGAGGGAGGGAGGGAGGGAGGGAGGGAGGGAGGGAGGGAGGGAGGGAGGGAGGGAGGGAAGGAAGGAAGGAAGGAAGGAAGGAAGGAAGGAAGGAAGGAAGGAAGGAAGGAAGGAAGGAAGGAAGGAAGGAAGGAAGAAAGGAGAAATACAAATCAGAAAGAAATTAAGACCATCTCTATTCACAGGCATTATTACAATGTAAAACAAAAAGAACCTACAAAAAACTACAAGACTACATAAGTGAGTTTAGTAAGGTCATAGAAAAGTATCAATTATATGTTTATATACTGGTAGTAAGCAGTCAGAAATTAACACAAAAAAAAGTCGAATTGCATTAGCACCAAAATACTTAGGATATGCAATATTTATAAAATTTATCAAAATATGTGCAAGATTTGTAACAAGAGAACACTGACCTGAAATAATCAAAAGACATATCTTGTGCATGGGTTGAAAGACTCAATATTGTTAAGATGTCAATTTGAGAGAGCCCAAATAGATCTACAGATTCAATGCATTTCCAATCAAAACTACAGCAGGGATTTTTGTGGTTTCTCGAAGCTGACTTAAAATTTATATGGGAAAGCAAAGGGCCTAAGTCAAATTTAAAAGCAAAACAAAATAATTGGAAGAGTCACATTAGTTGATTTCAAGATTTATTATAAGGCAATAGTAATTAACTTGTGTGGTTTTGATGATAATATACACACATAGATCAATGGAATAGATTGAGTACAGATATAGCCCACACATATATGGACAAATGATTATTGACAAAGGTGCCGAGATGAAGGATGGCATATTCAACAAATGTAACTCATACCTTAGGAAAATTAACTCAAGTAGATCATAGGCTAAAATGTAAACCTTAAATGATAAAACTTCTACAAGAAAATATAGGAGATCCAGCAAGTGATTAATGGATAAACTATCTATAGCATATTCACATAATGAAATATTATTCAGCCATAAAAGATATGAAGTACTGATACATGAAACAGTATATATGAAACTTGAAAGCATTATGCTAAGTAAAAAAAAAAAGGCAAAGAAGACCACATGTTGTATAATTCCATTTATATGAAATGTCAAAAACAGGTAGATCTATAGAGACAGAAAGTGGATGAGAGGTTGCTACAGGCTGGAAATTGAGGAGTTGGAGAATGACCACTAATGGGTACCGAGTTTCTTTTTGGTGTGTTGAAAATATCTATAATTGATTGTGGTGATAACTGTAAATATAGTGAAACCACTGAACTGTACACTTTAAATAGGTGTATTTTATGGTACATATGAGTTATACCTAAATTTTTTAAAATAAAAAAATATAATAGAAAAAAGAAAATCTTTGAGACTTTGGGTTAGACAAATAGCAAGAACCATAAAACAAAACAAAATAACAAAAAACTTGATAAACTGGAATTCTTCAAAACTAAAAATCTGCTCACCAAAAGATATTGTTAAGCAAATAAAAAAACAAGTTACAGATTAGGTAAAAAAAACATGTGCAAAACACATTTCTAATAAGTTATACCCAGAATATATAAAAAACAAATACCTGATTAAAGATGGGTAAGAATTAAGACACCTCAGGGAGGAAAAGGTATGCATGACAAATATATGAAAAAATCAGACACTAAAGTCATTAGTCATTAAGGAATAATCAATAGTCATGAAGGAAACACAAAAGGGAAACCACTACCCACATATCCTGTATGAGAATGTTTATAGCAGCTTTAGTCATAACTGCCCCAAACTGGAAACAACCCAAAGATCCATCAATGGATGAATTAATTACTGAATCCAGTAAACAAACTGAAACATTCATGACAGTTTTTTTTTAAATAAAAAGACTCAGCATAAAGTAGTGGTGGAAAGCAAAGCAGAGTTTGAAGAAACTTAGGCTAGAAAACCATCACATGGACTGCAACAATAAAAGGACCAGAAGCAAGAAGAGTTAGGAAATAGCAGGGGCATCTTGGAAAGACCCAAAGGTGTTTTTACTAGTAAATGCTCTCTGCTGAACCTGGGGGGGGTACGAGGTAGTGCAAGGACCATGGAGTGATTCGGTCTGGGTTCCATTTCCAGGCTCCTCTACTTACTAGCTCCATGGTTTCTAGCACATTAACAGCACCAATCTCACAGTGTTGATGCAGATATTAAATGAATTAATATATTATAGCAATTTTTAAAGTGCCTGAGCTGGTTATACCTATTATTATTTCACATTCACACTTTTTCTTGTTTCTGTTCAGATTTTAAAATCAGCTGTCCAGTAATATTCAAAACTTTTATTATCCTTCAAATTACTAAGTGCACAGCTTAAAGACACAAAAAGGTACCACATTTCTCCCGTCTCCACACCCACTAGTCAGATGCTAGGGAAAACACATCCAGAAATCACCTGTTTTTCCCTCTTTCATAACATTAAACGTTTCTTCTTCCTAGAGAAACACTGCTCTTCCTAGATCTTTCTTCCCTCCTTAGTTAAATGAAGACACTGTATTAGACAAATATGGTTCTGAACCAAATATTCACAGAATTCTAAGTGGCATAAGATAAAGATGGGTCTTTAAAAACCACTTTTGCTAAATGGTGGTCACTGGTATACACTCAGAATATAATCAAACCAAATTAATGTTACCAAGATTTATAAATTGTGCATCAATATAAGATTTAATACAAATATAGTGTAGAAGCCCTATTTTTACATAATCTCCATTAACTTTTTATTTATCTTTATTGTTGAAAGTGTTACTGATATCCCTATTCTCCCCCATTGGCCCCCTCCACCCCGCTCCTAAGCCCCCACTAACTTTTTAAAAAATAATTTGTTTTTATTTATAATTGCTATATAAATTACATCTATATTAGATAATCATCTTTGCTGTGATATTTTGTTATTCATTCATGTATTTTCATTTATATACACTTGAATGAGCACTGCCACAAAAAATTTTAAAAAAACAACAACACACCACACATTTCACAAGTACTTCCCAGCTTCCCGCTTCCCTCAGGTGTTGCTATAATTTGTAATGATCCGGTTTCATGCAAATCATGTAATGACATCAGATAGCTTTATTTAAAAAAGGTAGCCTAAAAGTAAAATAAACACTAAAACCAAAGTTTTTTTTTTAACCTAAACATGTTTATTTACTTTTAATTCCCTGACCTTCAAAAATATAAATACTGGTGCCCTACATAATTGCAAAAGATTAGAATTAATAAACACGCAAGATAATTTCTTTAAATAAGAAGTTAGTTTTTATTCTTTACAATGGAAGTTAAACATTGATGAAATAAATCAAATTCCTAGATTCTTTTCTAAAATTTTAGGTTAAGCCGTAGGGGAAGCAGGCCAGTTTCTCTCAGAAACATATCAAAATGTTTTAGCGAGTCAGCTATTTTGCTTACCTTTAAAAACAACTTAAATTCATTATGATAAAGAGAAAAATTATTTCCAAATAGACACTAAATCTCATGAGCATAAAGTAAGGAGGAAAATCCCAAAACAAACAGGGAAGAAGAACCTGTTAGGGTGTGGGCAGGCACCTACCTCATGCACCAGAGCAAGTGAGGTCTGCTTGAAACTTCGCCCTCTACTGGCCATCAGTCGATTCAAAGGTTTGCCATCTTTACTCTGATACATTGAAACATCGTAACAAAACAACATACCCCCTTAAAGAAAACATAAAAACATTTCTTATAAAAAAACTTCATCAATTAGATTCTCAGTAATCAATATTTAATCAATCTGGATAGAGATATTTATGAATTAAAAGAATGTGCTAAGCAAGTTATATTTGGCTATTGGTGTCTAAGGAAAGAAAAAAATAGAATATAAAAGTTATATTTAAACTATCACTTATTTACAAGCTTTATTCATTTGTAAATAAGTGAATAAATTTGCAATTCATGACACTTTAAATTTTATAAACTGTTACTTTAGAGATTCTATTAAGCTTTAAAAAAATAAATTCCAATTAAAGAAGTGCTTGCACATATCATTTCTGAATCCTGATAAAACATGGGTTCCTTAGTTTATACCTACAAGTGGACAAGCTTTTCCTCATACCTGCACTCATGTACATTCATTCTCCCCTTTCCCCTCCCGCCTCCTCTCACCCTTCTCTGCCCACTCCTTCCCACTCTTGTCAACCAAGTTCTCAAACTGAACTTCCAGCTCCCGCTGGCCTCAGTGTCAATGGAGATCCAAGGGCAAGCAGCCAAGTGCTAGAGTGAGCGAGGGTAGTCTTGGAAACTGCCTGGGTAATTCTGAGCCAATGAAAAGACACATTCAAGGGGTAAGATAATTTAAAACATAGAGATCGTTACATTTTTAAACATCTTTTTGAAGTATGGTACACATAGAGAAAAGTGCACATGTAATAGGCATACAGAGCTCAATGAATTTTCATAAACTGAACAAACAAGTCTGACCATCACCCAGATCAAGAAACAAAACACTGTTAATATCCCAGAAGCCTTTCCCCATGTCTCCTCCCAGTCACATGCACTCCTGTCCCAAAGGTAGCAACCTTCTAGTACCCACTTTGCCTACTTCACTACTTTATGTTAATAGAATTAGACTGTAAAATGGCTTTTTAAAAATCTGGCTTCTTTCACTCAATATAATCATTGCAACAATCATTCAGTTATTGGCAGTCACTGCTGAATAATACTCCATCATGTGAACATACCACGATTTATTTATCCATTTCACTGTCAACAGGCATTTAGATAGCTTCCAAGTTTAGGGCTACTCCAATAGTGCTGCTATGCACATTACAGTACGTGTCTCCTAGTGACTTCATTTGGGTCTATCCCTAAGAATGAAATCGCTGGGTAACAGAGTAAATGATTTCAATACAAGTTTTCCAAAGTGGTTGTACTAACATGTAGCCATTGCTCCACATATTTGCCAATTCTTTGTATTTTCCATCTCTTTTTCATTTTAGCCAATCTGTTAAATATGTGGTGATATCTTATTGAGGTTTTAATTTGTATCTCTCTGATGACTAAGTTGATTGTTTACTCATATGTTCATTGAACATTTAAATACTCTCATTTTGAAGGGTGTGTTCAATTCTTTTTACTGTTTTTTGATTGTCTTTTTCTTATTTATTTGCAAAAATTCATTATATATGCTAGATATGAGCTCTTTATCAGACACATGTATAATACTCTCTTGCATTTTGTGGCTTGTCTTTTCACTCTCTTCAAGGTATATTTTGATTGACACATGTCCTTGATTTTAATATAATTTGTCACTATTTTTATAACTGGAGCTTTTCATTATAGAACCATTTGTGATAAAGACCCCTTTTCTCCACAGCTCTACAGTGTCACCTTTGTAATAAATCTGTGGCCCTATTATGTGGGTCTGCAATAGTCTTCCACTGGTCCGTTTGTCTATCCTTGCACCAATCCCACACTGTCAATTATTGTGGTTTCATAAAAAGTCTTGACATGTGGTAATGTAAATCCTCCTACTTTGTTTTGATTCTCCAAGATTACCTTGGCTATCTGTTCATTTTCACACAAATTTTAGAATCTACTTGTCAGTTTCAAAGAAAAACAACAACCACCTATCGGGATACTGATTTGGATTGGGTTGAATCCACATATCAATTTAAAAAAAATTAACATTTTTACAACACAGTCTTCAAGTCCATAGACATTGCATAGCATTCCATTTGTTAGAATTTTTAAAATTTTTCTTCATAATGTCTGTAGCTTCCAGCATAAGGGTTTTACATACTTTTTGATAAATTTACTTTGGGTAATCAATATTTTTTGATGCTACTGTAAATGATAGTGTTTTCAAATTTTATTTATTTTTTGTTATGGTATATAAAATATATCACTGATTTTTTTGGGGCATTTTCTTAGTGACTTTTTTTTCTTTAATTTTTAAAAACCTTTTCCAATTATCACTGATTTTTATATGTTGACTTTTGTATATATGCATTAATCTTGCTGAATTCATTTATCAACCCTAATATGTAGATAAATTTGAATTTTCTATGTATATAATCATGTCATCTGCACATAATGACTATTTTATTTCTTCCTTTCTAACCTTTATTGCCTTTTTTTTTCTTCTTCTTCTTTTTTGGCTTATCACACTAGCTATGCCCTCCATTACAATACTGAACAACAGTGATGCTAATAAACATCCATATCTTTTTCCCCAATCTCAGTATCTGAGTACTAAGTTCGACAATGGAATTGTAGATGTTCATCAGAATAAAAAAAGTTCTCTTCTATTCAAAGTTTAATATGAATCTTTTTTTAATATCATGAATAGAAGGTAAATTTTTCAAAGATATTTTCTGTATCTATTGCTATAATTTAAATATTGCTCTGCCTTTTTCTATTAATATAATGACTTATATTTTTAAACAGTAAATTGACCCCATTTGTTATGTATTATCTTTTGTATCTATTGCCGAGTTCAATTTTCTTTCTTTTTTTTTGTAACTAAGTTCATAGAAAAGATTGGTTTGTAATATTCCCTTCTTGTACTTGTCAGATTTTGGTATAAAAAGTATGCCAATCTCATAGTTTTTTTTTTTCCTGTTCTCTGTTAGAGTTCATTGAATACAAATATCATTGCTATTGCTCCCTTAATTTTGGGGAGGAATTCACCAAGGATGCCATGTGCACCATGGTTTTTATTCAGTATCAGTGGGAAGGTTGTTAGAGGTTCAATTTCTTTAATACATTATCAAACTACTCATACAGTCTATTTATCCTCCTGTCCGTTTTGTAAAGATTTATATTTTGATAAATTTCCTTATCTAAACTGCGAAATTTACTGGCTAAGGTTCTTTATAAATTCTATATCTTTTTGAATGCTATAGGCTCTGAAGTGGTATCTCCTTTGTTATTCCTGATAACAATATTTCTCTAATTTATTATCCAAACTTACACTGGCTTTATCATTTTGTTAAGCTTTTCAAAGAACCAACTTTGGCTTTGCTCATTTTCTTTATTTTATGTTTTCTAATTCATTAGTTTTTATTCTTCTTCTTATTAATTCCTCTTTCCTTTCATTACATTTAATTTGTTGTTCTTTTCAAAGCTTCTTGAGATAGAAGCTTAAGTCATTATTTTCCTTTTTTTGTTTTCTAATATATTCACTGAAAGTATAAATTTCCTTCTAACACTGTTTTAGCAGTTGGGATATGGCTTATTTTCATTATCATTCAGTTTAAAATATTTCCTGATTTCCATTTTGATATTTAGTTTAATCCCTGGATTATTTTTTTTTTAAATATATTTTATTGATTTTTTACAGAGAGGAAGGGAGAGAGATAGATAGTTAGAAACATTGACGGGAGAGAAACATCGATCAGCTGCCTCCTGCACATCTCCCACTGGGGATGTGCCCGCAACCCAGGTACATGCCCTTGACCGGAATCGAACCTGGGACCCTTCAGTCTGCAGGCCGACACTCTATCCACTGAGCCAAACCGATTTCGGCGCAATCCCTGGATTATTTCTAAGTGTACTGTTCAATTTCTAGGCTACTGGAGACATTCTAGTTAGTTATTTTGGGGGTGTTTATTTTTAGCTTAATCCCATTGTCATCAGAGGACAGACGCTTAATGACTTCAGAATTTTGAAATTTTTTGATGCTTATGGTTTGTCATATGGTCATTTTGGTAAGTTTCCCAGGTACTGTTGAAAAGCATAGGAATTCTATCACTGTTCTTTGTCAATTAAGTCAAGTTTGTTCACAGGGTTATTCAGATAGTTTGTAAACTTATACAGTTTGTCTACTTATTCATCAAGCTATTGAAAACCATGTTTTAAAGTTCCCATCTTTACTGCAGGCCTATTTCATCTTTTAGTTCTGCTAATTTTTATCATATATCTTGAAGCTATGCTATTTTGTGTGCACTGACTAGCATAGTGACATTTTCTTAATAGGGTGACTTCGTTATCTCCGTGAAATGTCCCCTTCATTTCTAGCTTCTTCCTCTTTCATATGTCTAGTACTTTTTCACTGTATACTGGACAGTAAATAAAAGAACCATAGAGCCCTAACCAGTTTGGCTCAGTGGATAGAGTGTCGGCCTGTGGACTCAAGGGTCCCAGGTTCGATTCTGGTTAAGGGCATGTACCTTGGTTGCGGGCACATCCCCAGTAGGGAGTGTGTAGGAGGCAGCTGATCAATGTTTCTCTCTCATCGATGTTTCTAACTCTCTATCCCTCTCCCTCCCTCTCTGTAAAAAAATCAACAAAAAAATATATATTTTTTAAAAAGAACCACAGAGATTTTAGTCTAAATGATGCTAAACTCCTCTCCTCTGTTAAGCAGATAGGGAAGCACTGATCTCCTCAACCAAATCTGGGACTGGACTGGGTTAGGCATAACTACAGCTCCGGTGGATCCCAGTCCATGTCTGGCTCAGCCATGTTCCGAAGGCAGGACTCCCCATGACTTCCCACTGACAGCCTAAAGCAGGGGTGGACAAACTTTTTGACTCGAGGGCCAGGTCTGTCCTCAGAGGTTTCCGGCTCACCTCTAACTCTCCCATCCCTTCAAGTTCCAAATTTGGGTAAATGTCATTCTGAAGGAAACATCATTACATAAAAGGGTACGGTCTTTTTTTTTTTTTTAGTTTTATTCATTTCAAACGGGCCGTAGTTTGCCCACAGCTGCCTAAAGGGACTCCTCAGTATGGAGTAACTGTGAGAGAGCCAGGTCTGTCCTCAGAGGTTTCCGGCTCACCTCTAACTCTCCCATCCCTTCAAGTTCCAAATTTGGGCAAATGTCATTCTGAAGGGAGAAACGGGCTGTGTGTTTGAGATTCCTCAAGTCTCCCGTTCTGTCACTCAGGCACCACACAGATGTCAAGGTCTCTGCTGGTTTCTCTGCCTCCTACACCAGCCTGAAGTCCCGCCTCCAGCCCAGGCCAGGACAGTAAACGCACTCAGGTGAAAAGCACTGTCCCTCTTCAGGACCAGTTCCCTGCTCCTGTGCTTTGTTTCAGACCCGCTCTCCTAGCTGGTCTTTGTCTCCTGAGCACAAGACGGAAGGAGATTTCACTTGGCCTTCCCGAAGCATCAGCCTACTTCTTTAACTTTCAGTGCAAACTCAAAATTCAGCAAATATCTTCTGAGGAAAACCTCCAATTTGTCTCCTCTATTAGTCAGAGTCTTCAGTGAAACAGAACAAATAAGAAATATATACCCGAGAGCTGGAGAACCAGGGAAGCCAGAGGAATAATTCAGTCCAAGTCCCAAAGCCTGAGAACCAGGGGTGCCAACGTCCAGGGGCAGGAGATGGATGCACCCGTTCAAGCAAAGAGCAGATTCGCTCTCCCGTTGTTTTCTGTTCCACTGGGGCCCGGACACCCTGGTGATCTTTACTCAGTTTACTGACTCAAAGCTAACCTCTTCTGAGCACACTCACAGACACACCCAAAATGTTTCAGCAGCTACCTGGCATCTCTTAGCCCCATCAAGGCACATAAAATTAACCAGCACAGCACCCTCATCCAGGGGAACCACTAATAGCTCCACTGTTTCTCTAGCCTCCAACAGGCCTCTTCCTGGCCAACCCCCAATCCTAGCTCACAACCAGAGTCTGACTACCCTCCTTGGGGATGAGGACAACCCTAAAATGTTCTCCTATTCTGGATTTTTTTTTTTTGTCTATCTATCCATCTTTGCTTCTACAGTTCTCCGGTGCCTTTAAAATGTGACTGATTCTTGCCATTTATCCAGCTGTGCCTACATGTCAGCAGCAGCAGCAATGCCCTCCCATGCCCTACTCCAGCCTGCCTGGAAATGGGAGTTAAAACAATGCATTAAAAACTTGTACCTGGATACTATGTACCGTGCTCACCTGCAAGGCCAGGTTTCAAACCTGGTTGCTTGTTTGTTTCATACATTTTCAATATAAAATTGGGGATTCCTGCTACAGTCTTTCCTTGGTCTGAGCGGGCACCTCCTTTCAATGCCAAGTGGTATACCCCACGGGGCATATTCACCATTTCTTGCTTCACAAGCGATGTAAAAAATTCCTCCAATGCTGAAAGAGATAAAAGGAAATTAAAAGTAGAGTATTAAAGTATGCTAGAAGAGAAACACTCATTCTTTTAAAAAACATCTTTACTGTTGAGAATATTACAGATGCTGCCCCATTTTCCCTTTTGTCCCCCAACCCCCCACCTGGCTCCCACCCCATCCCAGGCCTTCACCACCCTGTGGTCTGTGTCCATGGGCAATATGCATATAATCCTTGTTTATCTCTCCTGACCCTAACTTTCCTCTGAGATTCACCAGTCTGTTCCATTGTTTCCATGCTTCTGGTTCTATTTATTCATCAGTTTATTGTGTTCGTTAGATTCCACAGATAAGTGAAATCATGTCTTAACTCACACATACCACCACCAGCACAGCAGCAGCAACTTGCCTATTTCAGGCCAAACTTCACAAAGTAAAAAGAGGACTCTTGATTCCCGTCCTTTTTTATTCTTCCCCAAGTCAGACCAGGGCACCCAGTTGCTAAAGCTTAAAAACTTAGTCATTCTTGACTTTTCTCTTTCCCACACTCCTTATATGTACTCCACCAGCAAGTCCTTCTACATCAAACTTTTAAAATATATCCCAAATCCACCCATTTCTCTCCATTTTCACTGCTACTTGCCCAGTCATTATCTTCTCTCTTCCTCATCTGGACTAATTTAAAAACGGATTTCTTGGTTTCTACCCCTACAAACCATCATCTATCCAAACCAGAATTTGTGTCATCCCTTCCCTAACATCTTCCAATGGTTTTTCACTGCGCTTAGAATAACATCAAAACCGCTGATATTATCAGAAGTTTAATCATCTGTAGCAATATCAGTACAATTATTAAAAAGCAAAATATTGATTCACTATTTCTTTGCTTGTGGTCCTAATTAAGCCCAAGATCTTTACTGCTTGACATGTTTACTTATTATAAGGTAACACAGAAATGTGGGATCAAAGGACAATAGATACCCAAACAAAATACTTGCTAAGACTGCAGGTTTGTATTCAAGTGTTATTTTCCTAAGAACCACTAGAGGTTGCCCAATGCAGAAACAAACACATTTAAACTAAACAAATCATATGGAAAACAAAAAAGGAGACTACTGCAGGTGCCTCTTATTATAGGGACAAGAAGCAAGGATCCACCCAATAAAACTGGAATCTCACTCTGAATAGATCTAAAAGTCTTCTTTAAAAGACATGATTAAATTAAAGGGAAAGTGCTCACTGGCGCATCTATTATGTGCCTGGCTCTGTCAATGCTACGTACTTCAAGATGCAGCCAAATTTCTCCATTCAAAGCCCAGGGAACACTGTATGGGATACTTTCCATTTACCCCTCCAGACCCATCCTCCACCCTCTCACCCTGCTCTGTGCCCTGGAAGAATGACCTTTAACAACGGCATCACCAGGCTCCCTTGTTCTCTGGCAGCCAATGGGAAACACTGGCAGGAGGTCACAGGGTGGAAACACTGTGAGGTCAGGCATGTATCCCCCACATACCCACCTACAGGACTGCTACCGGTTGCCTGCATGCCTCTTACAAAGGCCTGGCTCCCCTACTTATGACTCTCACTCTCCTAACTGCTACCTCCCCTTACACCTTCCAGCTAAGGGACATCATCCCACTCTGGGATGACTCACCATTGCTTGTGATTTTCCTTTAACCTTGATAACATAACTGTAAATAGTCTCTATTAAACTCTCGGTTACTCCATCTGAACGTGACTTTCCTGTCAAGACCCTAATCAATACATCATCTAAACGACAGGAATGAGTAACATCCAATTGCAGGCCATACACCCCAATACCTGCATTCACATGCACATGCATGACCGCTTCAAGCTAGATGAGTGTGAGCACAGCTGTTCAGAATGAAGCCAGGATCATCGTGTGTGAGGACACTAGTGCTATGATGAGAGGAGTTATTTCATGCTTTCCCTGAAGGGTCCTTTTCTGGCAAAGCTGATACATGTCAAGAGATAAGTACACATGTGCAATAGACTAACCTGGGAATGGAAATCTGTCTACTTGGCAAGCTCTTCAGAGGACTAAGGATTCTAAAAATAACTCCAGCCCTGAGAATAGTGTAAATGAAGGTATGACTGCAATTGATATAAAAAACACCGTCCTCCCCCAGCCACTAAGCTAGCAACTAGGATGTTTTCCATTGTCACTGAGTTTTGCCCTGTCTTTGACCAGGTGAGAATTTGAAAAGAGCGGAAAAGCTGTAGGTTGCAGTGTTAGATATAAAATTTTAAAACAACCCAAATGTCTTTCAACAGGTGAGTGGATAAACAAACTGTAGTACATCCTACAATGAAATACTACTCAGTAATAAAAAAGAACAATTCATACAGGTAAGTATTTGGACGGATTCAAAAACAGGCTGAGTGAGAAAAAAAAAAGCTAATCCCAAAAGTTTATATAATGTATGAAAAAACCTGGTAAAATCTGAAAGGTCTATAGTTATTAATATCGTACCAATGTGAAATTCCTGGTTTTAATAATGAACTAAGGCTTTGTGTGCTGTTAGCAATTGGGAGCAGGTGGGTAAAAGTACACAGAAACTTTCGAAACTGTTTTTGTGACTTCTTGTAAGTCTAAAATTATTTCAAAAAATTTGATACCAGTAAGACCCCTATTAAAATAATGCAAATTACTGAATTTACTCTGCAATTGAATTTGTGTTTACTTGAAAGTAAGAGGAGAAAAAGGCCAGGATTCACTTACTCGGTGTGATCTGGCTTTCCGCCTACTTACTGCACCCAGAGACCTAATATGGATCATCCCCCCTGGACCCTGTAGGGCATACACTCCTGTGGCTGGTGCTCTTTCCTGGGTGTCTTATTTGCTTTTTGAGTAATCCCAGGAAGAGTAAGGCACAGAACAGTGAAGAACCCTGCCATGCTGACATGGCTCGCCAGATGCAGGCAGCATCTAGATTACCCACCTGAGTCTAAGTATTGAATTTTCTCAAGTAGATACAATTGGTGATCTCAAGTCTTCCCCTTCTTTCTCAATGAAAGGCACTAACAATGACCAAGGACAAAGAACGCAGAGGAGCCACTTAATGCCACCACAGTTCTGTGCAGACTGGGAGGTCAGACACAACAGCAGAGCTTGGCAACCAATGTCTTCCCCCTTCTTCTCCCACCACAAGCCCGGGGGGTGAGGGATAGGGGTGTGTGTGTGTGTGTGTGTGTGTGTGTGTGTGTCTGTATATGTGTGTGTGTGCGCACATGTTCCATGTAAGAGGGAACAACATCCTAAGGCTATTTTAGGATACAAGGGGCACTTTGATAAATGCAGGCTTTTTACTTCTTTGACTCACTATTAACTACACGAAAAGTTCCAGACTCTGAAGAGCCCTGAGGTAGGAAGTGGGGAAGAATAGAAGAGAGGACAGGAGACTAGTCTTTAAGGCTCATTCTGGGCATCAGGAGAAAAGAAAGGGTGAGCTCTTTGTCTCAGATGTACCATCCAGCTTTCTCTAATGAAAGGAGGTGGGATTTGGGACAGGAGCTTTGTCTAGAAATTTATAATATTTATTTGGCTGAATTCCTCAGGAATCTCCACGTGGGATGAAACGAAGGAAAAAATCTTTCAACGTTATAGGCTAGTGAGATTACGATTGTGAAGATAAGATGACATTTCTTGTGTTTATTGAACTTAATTTTAAGAAATTTATACATTCATGAACATTCAAACTAGAATTGGGACAGGATATATAATGCATGGTCAGCAAAATGTTGGCTAATACTGAATTAGAATAATTAGAATATTTTTTTAAAATGCCAAGATTCTGTAAAGTTTATGTTGAAACTAAATGACTATGCAATTCGATCTATTTTTTAAAGGCATTCATTTCTAGTTCTTGAATATTGGTACCATCTTTGGAATAATTCTCTTTAGAATAAATTTATAATGATGATACTAGCCAGTAAATCTTGGAAGATTCTAGTAATCTTTTCACTTACCTTATATAACAATGAACAGTTATTTGAATCAGTGACTTAAAGTCCCACTGCAAACTTATCTTACAGAATAAATTTAGCATTTGAAAAACATTTTAATTTCTCGGTAAAAATGGTTTTTAAACTAGTTTTCCAGTTCAATTTTATTTGCGTCTAACATATTCAGTATATTTTGAATGCCATACTACCTCAAGCAGTCCTATGGAACAGATGGAGGCATTTTGCATTTCAGATAGAAAATGAGTATGTAAGATTAAAGCAAGCTATAATATGTACACATCACAAAAGAACACGATTAATCAGATAGGTAAAAATCACTGGAAAATGATAGCTTCCCTGCCATTAAGTAAATAAGTCACCTGGTAACACCAAAGGCGAGGTGAGTGGCAACAGTTTGAGATAGCAAGAGCCAGGAATCGAAAGATCCACATCCTTTTCATCACCCTCCTCATCTTCACCTTCATCCAGCTCAGGAGGACTGATTTCTGGTCTTATCTGAAATGACAGAGAAGACAATACTAAAGCATCATGTAAAATCTTTTCTTTATCCTTTTTATGTCAAGATTTAAAAAACCAGCTAGATTCAGTGCTCTATAAAGTCAAAAGACCATTAAAAATAATTTTTTAAAAAAACTATTCATTTTCATATTAGCTAAATGTTAATTAACCTGTAATCATATTAGGTACAACCCCAGATCCAAGTAAAGAGCTAATAATATTAAAAGAAAATCACCATAAACCAATATAAGCAATAATTTTATAGAAAAGTAATAAAAGTTTACACCGTCAGACAATAAAATGTAAACACCGACACAATGAATATATTGGACTTTTATGGTTTATAATGAAATTATTTGCCTAATCCGAATACATTTTTTTAAAATTTGGGATTCTATTCACATCTCTATGATAAAGCTTAAAATCCTCCAGTAGAATATATGATGGAGATCAGGAAGGAACAGAATGCTTTAGTTGACTTTATTTTAGACTTGGCAATTTGTTGCTAGAGAATATAAAAACACTAAAATCTGTAATTGGTAGCTACACTTTATTGTGGGATTTGCAATTTGAAGATTACCACTATTGTAATTTCCACAAGATATAACTGTCAAGCAATTAATTAAATTTTTAATACTTTCACTGATACACCATCATAATGCCCACATGGAGATAATTAAGCATTAGGGGAGGAAATCAAAATATATAAAAGTGGTTGCTATAACCATAAAGTGCCAGAACCCAGTCATTACCATTAGCCTGTCTCCTGGAGTTATTTTTAGAAACAATTAACAATTCCTGCCGACTGCCTTCTTCATAGGTCCCCAAAGCACTGTTCCATTTAGGAACTGCACTGAGCCGGGGTTCTTGCAAGGGATTAAAAAAAAAATAGAGGAAATGCTTCTCTTAAGTATAATAACTTCAACTCCAATGAAGCCTTTCAACCGTAACTCGCGTCCTCTACAACAGTGAAGGAGGGAAGGCAGGAGGACTGCCCGAGCACTTGCTAAGACAGGCTTACTTGTGAGGCAATAGTGGGCCTGGCTCTCAGAGCCTGCGCCAGCCACAATTACAGCGATAACAATCCACGCTCCACACAGGGCATTTGCTGACATCAGTGCATACCAGAGAAACCCTGGCGCGTTTGCAAACCTTTTGGTTCTAACAAGAGGAGTTTTCCCAGTATCTCGGGTCTACATACATACCGGGAAGTTGTCAGGGTTAGTATCATCAGGAGTTATCTCGGAGATTCTAACAAGTCCCCGTTGCCTAAAAAGTTCCCCCAAAAGGAGTTGGTCTGGGTCCGTTTGCCTTACTTCCTGACTTTTTACACATCCACAGTACAAATGGAAACGCATCTGAACAACACCCTGGGGAAGCAGACAACACTGCTTACAGCTGGAGCCTACATCAGAAACACCCGCTACCACGCCAGGCCACCCAAGCCCTGGGAAGCCCTGCTGCCCCTCACATTCAAGGTGATAGGAGACTTGGGGAGGGGCGCCGATCAAAACTCAGAGGAACGGTGTGGATGTGGAGAAATCAGAACCCGCATACGCTGCTGGTGCACATGTGAAGGGGGGCAGCTCCTTTGAAAAACAGGTTGGCAGTTTCTCAAAATGTTAAAGACAGTTCACATGAATTGATAAGCCCCAGGAATCCCACTGCTAGGTATATAACCAAGAGAAATGAAAATATACAGTCACACAAAAAACTTGCGCATGAATGAATGTTCAGGAATGTGAATGCATTATTCATAATAGCTAAAACAAAAAAGCACACAACACCCCCCCTCCAAAAAAAAACCACCAAAAAAACAAAACAGGCAACTGAAATGCCCATGAACTGATGAATACATAAACAAAATGTGGCATATCTGTACCTTGGAATGTTATTTGGTCATAAAAAGGTACAAAGTACCATCCATGCTATACATGAATGACCCTTGAAAATATGCTATTAAGGAAGCCAGTCACAAAAGACCACATACCATATGATTTCATTATAGCAAAGGTTCAGGCCAGGCAAATTTAGAGACAGAAAGTAGATTAATCGTTGCTTAGGGCTTGGGGAGAGGAAAGGGTAATGGGAATTAACTCATAATAAAATGTTCCAAAATTAGATTTGTTGCTTTTTGATTAGCTGGCACAATTCTTTGAATATACTGAAACCACTGATTGTATGCTTTAAATAGGTGAATCATATGGAATGTGAATCATGTTTCAATTAATCTGTTTATAAAGAAGGAAGGCGGTGGAAGGAAAGGTGGGAGGAAGGATGAAGGAAGGAAGGCTAGGAGAAAGAGAAGAGGAAGTGGGAAGAGAGAGAGGGAGGTGTTAGTGCAGGGGTGGGCAAACTTTTTGACTCAAGGGCCACAATGGGTTCTTAAACTGGACCGGAGGGCCGGAATAAAAGCATGGATGGAGTGTTTGTGTGAACTAATATAAATTCAAAGTAAACATCATTACATAAAAGGGTAAGGTCTTTTTTTTTTTTTTAGTTTTATTCATTTCAAACGGGCCGTAGTTTGCCCACGGCTGTGTTAGTGGCATAAGCGGAAGAGTAAGAAGCAGAAGCCACCATCGCCTTCAGAGGGACCTTAGCTGGTGCATGAACTATGCCAAATGATCCAATGCTTCTAATTCCAGAATCATCCTATATAATAAAAGCTTAATATGCTAAGTGTCTTAACTGTTCAACCAGTTGCTATGATGCGCACTGACCACTAGGGGGCAGACACTCCGACCAGTAGGTTAGCTTGCTGCTGGGGTCCGGCTGATCAGGAGTGGGCAAGACAGGCCAGATATGCTCTGGAGCCCTCCCAAGGTCCCTCCCCGGCCCTGATCGTGCACCAGTGGGGTCCCTCAGCCTAGCCTGCAGGGATCAGGCCGAAACCAGCTCTCTGATATCCCCCGAGGGGTCCTGGATTGCGAGAAGGTGCAGGCCAGGCAAGGGGCCCCACGGGTGCATGAATCCGTGCACCAGGCCTCTAGTCTATATAATAAAAGCCTAAGTGACCATTACGGCGGAATGACCAGAATGATTGGTCACTATGATGCGCAATGCAGGAGCTACCCCCGGTGGTCAGTGCACTCCCACAGTGGGAGCACCGCTCAGCCAGAAGCCAGGCTTACGGCTGGCGAGTGCAGCCGAGGTGGTGGGAGCCTCTCCCGCCTCTGTGGCAGCGCTAAGGAGAAGCGAGCCGAGTGGTGAGCCGAGCGGTAAGGAGCAAGGGATCCCGGACTGTGAGAGGGATGTCCTACTGCCAGCTTAGGCCCAATCCCCTTGGACTGCATGAATTTTGTGCACCAGGCCTCTAGTTTACTATAAAAGGGATACAATCATTTTTGCACTCATGTTAGCCTATCCAGTCTTTCTGCTCAGCCAACCTAAATTACTTAAAATGAGTCACAGCACCCAGCCATCAATATTTCTAGAGCCATGAAAGACCTACTAGGTTGGGGTAAAAAAAAATTGATACACTCACCCATCTTAAATTGCCCAATTTCACATTCACATAACTGAATACCTATATTAATCTATCTGCTATATAGTAAACAGCATATGTCTGCATCTCATAACAAGGAAACTACAGATGTACTGTGATTTCAGTATAAATGACATCCTCTGCCTACTTATAATGCTATGATGACTCCTTCAATTTTGTTTCTTCAAATGCAAGTTGATTCTCCCGAACAAATTAGCACTATTGTTAGAACTTGGTTCCATTACATTTCTGTCCTTTTCTGCTTGTCTCTTAAAGAGGCATTTATTCCAGCTTCCCTATGCTAGTTCCAGTCTCTTTCCTGGGCTTGTGTGCAACGACTATGATCAATATGAGTACAACTAAGGAACATCAAGAGACGTCATATGAAAAAATCTGTTAAAATTTCATAATTTGGGCAATTATATTACATTAGCTGCCAAAACACCCAGGAAAACTGCACATATATTTGAAACACAAACACACATGCATGTACACACACAACTATGCCCTTCCAATAATAGCTAAGCTTTACTGGAGACACTTTAATAGAGAGCCAAGTATAAAATGATAAATTATTTTTAAAATCTGCTTCAAATTGAATACTGGAAAGCTTACCCCACAAAATGCCTTCCTGTGGGTTCTGAGCCAGATAACCTTTCAACCACCTTTGTTTGTGTGTAACCTATGAAAACCCAGGAGTTTGTGCAGAAACAGAGGATTTTATTTGGAACATGTCAAGTATCTGCATAAATTCATTTAAAAAGAGAAACAGCTTCTGATGAATGCAGTGACATTCACTTAAATCAAAGACGAACAGGTTACACCACATTAATACCAACCCAGCATGCATAATGAGTCCTTTTATATTACTCGCTTCTAAAATTAACTCCAGAAATCAACAACACAATTTATCTTAAGACCTCTATAATAAAAAGTTTAATTTTTAAATAGCTAAATATTTTTTAATGAACCCAAGTCAGAGAAGAGAGTCAATCTTCTACCTAAATGTTTATCCATTACTGATTGTTTTATCAGGAAAACAATTCTCTATGGGGTTTTTTTTGTTTGTTTGGTTGCCTTTTGGGGGTTGATTTTTTTTTTTTTTTGGTGCTAAAGAAGGCAGAGGAGAAGGATAAATAGCTAAAAAAAAAACAAAACAAAAAAACACAAAAAAACCAAAGAAATATAAACTAAAAGGGAGGAAGCACTCACCTGTACTTTTTATTTTATTGATTTCAGAGAGGAAGGGAGAGGAGAGAGAGATAGAAACATCAATGATGAGAGAGAATCATTAATTGGTTGCCTTCTGCATGCCCCCTACTGGGGATCGAGCCAGCAACCCTGGCATATGCCCTTGACCAGCATTCAAAACCGGGACTCTTCAGTCCGCAGGCCAATGCTCTATGCACTGAGCCAAACCATCTAGGGCTCATGTGTATATTTTAGCATTAGAATCAACAAGTCCTCAATGAAGGCCCCCAGATTTTTTGACCAACTTTAGATTTGCAAGTTTCAAGTAATTAACAATATTTTTACAAACCAACAAAACACATAGTAGCCTAGCACTTAGTATATGTCCAATAAATAATTATTAAACCAATGCAAGTGTTAAGTGTCTATCTCCAATAATCTCACAGAACTTCCTAAAAAAAAAACCAGTGACAAAAAAAAAATGCGTTACTGAATTTGATTTCAAATCCCTAACTCACAAAGTATCTCATTCAAATCTATTACCCAATGGCATTTCCCATCTAGCCTTAGATGTGATGTCTTATTCAACCCTAATTTTTTTCTGATGTCTGCCACTTCTCTAATACCTTTTGTTCTACCAGCCTGTTAGCTTTCAACAAGTTTCACAGTTTTAAATTAATGCATCAATCAACAAGAAATCTTTCTTCAGTAAATTTAAAAAAGGGCAGTGCTTATCACAAAAATAGCTGAATTACAATCCATAAATGTAACCATGTTGATAAGGATCCACTATACATTTTTTTCACATTTCTACTTGAAATTTATACTGTGCTCATTTAGAAGACTATTTCACAAGTTTCCACAAGCAGAAAAAGAAAAGGTGGACGGACATACTTTCACTGGAAATTACAGGTAACTTTCAGCTTCGTGAGTAATTGAAATTGCCCTAATACAGAGGAAGTAGTCTCTAACAACAACAACAAAAATCTTAGTTTTTGTATTATATTAGCCCCTACCTGGCAGGGACTTTTAAGATAATTGAAAACAAGCTTTTCTGGAAAATGGGCCTCACTGTCACCATCTACAAAGCAGAAGTGGGACGCTGACTTGGTTGTCTCTCAAGCCTTTGGAGACTTGGGGGACTTGTTTGGGATGTGAATACATGGACCGCTTTCTGGACTCTCAGTCATGGGTATTCTAACAGCCCAACTGAAAATCATTCATCAACAAAAAGAAGAGGAATGCATGGTGCAGTCTTGGAAGCAATGATTCTCCGTGGGGAGGCGGGCCCTCTAGACCAGAAGATGGTTGTCAGAGGTGGAATCTTTTAAAATATACTTTATTGATTTTTTACAGAGAGGAAGGGAGAGGGATAGAGAGTCAGAAACATCGATGGGAGAGATCGATCAGCTGCCTTCTGCACGCCCCCTACTGGGGATGTGCCCGCAACCAAGGTACATGCCCTTGACCGGAATCGAACCTGGAACCCTTCAGTCCGTAGGCCGACACTCTATCCACTGAGCCAAACCGATCAGGGCAAAGAGGTGGAATCTTTTAAACCATTTTTGTCTGTTCATCTTAATCCCAGTTGAAAATATTCACATTAGTGAACCACTATTCATATCCCTGAAGGGGGTTAGGGCAGAAGAAAAGGTTGAAAAGCATGGCTAACAAGGACAAATCTTAGAGATTTCCTTTACAGCTCTTCATATGCTGATGGTGAAAACCCAAGCAGACTGAGAAACCCCAACTCTACAAATATCACTACCCTTTGTGTAGGGAGGTATGAAGAGCTATATATGCTATTAGGGATCAGACACTATAGAAGAGCTAGATTAAGGAAGTACCTAATATTTGACTGAGAATAGCACTTATTTGAGTATAAATTCTAACAACCATAATCAGAAACTAGACATAACCCTAAAGTAGGAAAAAATATAAACATATCAATATTTGAAGAGGTAGAGATGAAATAGCCAAGTGAATGTGAAAGTTGCTTAACTAAAGCTATTTATTCCAGCTGAAATATTACAAGAATGAGAGCTGAAAATAAAGGTAATTATCATGCAGTGATGTAAATTAGAAATTACTTAATAACAACAACTACAATTAATAATAATAATAATAATAATAATAATAAAAAAGGTATCTTCCCACATGTATTGGTAGGAGTTTGCACACCAAATTTATATGTAGCTCCCCCCCCTTTTTTTTTTACTTTTTCTTCTCTCCCTCCCTCCCTTCTATAAGCTATGGGTATTGCTAGTAGCCATAGTGCAGTCTGAAGTCCCATCTTTTTTTTCCCACCCAGTCTCAGTCCATTCTCAGAACACACTCCATCACCTGGTTTCCAGAACTCAGACTGAGCAGTGGTCTCGTCATTATCAACCAGGCCTAACAGTTACAGCGGCAGAGGCCTCCCTAAACCTCCCTCATCTCTAGCCTAACCAGGCTCATTCCCTGGCCCCACTTCGCCTAACCTTTATAATAGTTTTAGGCTCTGGGTCGGCATCGCCGCCAGCCTTGGGGCCCAAGCTTATAAGGAAAATACTAGGGGCTCATCCAGGGGCTGCACTGGGAAACCTGGGGACACCCCCACCCTATGACCCTCGCTGCAGCGCCCTCACACCAACCTCCCCACCCCACTCCGCGACTCGACCCCGCCACCCACCACTGGCCTCTGAAGTCCCATCTCTTTTAATTTTATGAGTCATAAAACACTTTTTCTTAAGTCTTCCCATTTGTGATAACTGCAGGACAAGGCAGCCAAGCTGCTTGGGGACATGGGAAATCCTGCTCTACTTAGATTTGGTTTTACAGGAGCCTGTCCTTCAGTCCCACTTACGTGGTGGCTCCTATTCAATTCAATAGACAGTGATTCTTACTGGTATCTAATCTCCATATAATCTCAATCTAGAAGAGAAAGAAAACCCATTCTAATGCCCGAGGAGCCCAAGTTCTTGCCACTTGGCCTCAAGGACAGATTCTGCGTAATGTTACACATAACTTCTTCTACTACAGTGTCTGCCTTACACTCTAAAGGCATTTGTGCATGTGGGTGCATTTGAATTAGTAGCACTAAATGTGAAATCAGACACTTAATTCCAGACAACCCAATAATTTGAAGTTGTCTATATTACATAGATACTAGAAAAGGTTGTGTAGTTTTAGTTTAGTCTAAACACTATGATAATGTCACACTATGCGTTAACCCTTAAAAGACAGTAATACTTTCCTCAGCCAGTTCTCTGGTGCTAACCTACACTTCATTTCACATGAATAAATAATTTTTTTTCACATGGCACCTCAACTTTCTATCACAAAGATCTTTGGTTGCACAAGCAATATAGATCTTAGTCTGTACAGGCCCTGCTTGGATTTGAAGTCCAAGACGGTATCCTAACTTGGCAAAGTGGTTCCTACGGTGGCACAGATCTTCTGGAGTGAGCCGTGGGCACAGGCATGCAGCCATACACCCAGTCACCTGAAGGAGACTCCACTGGCACCACAGGCGTCTCCCATCTTCTTCAAAGAGATTTAAAGTCACTATCTGTGATGTCTAACACCACTACCGTCTAAGTTCATTACAGCTTAAACAGGTAATGAATATAAATTCTTATCTTTCATAGACAACATACCTATAATTACATATACATCTGTCAGGTACGAATCTCCTAAGGGGAAGGGAGATACAGATCAAGTTGTAAAGCTCAGCAGGAAGGAGAGCAGTGAGAGAGCAGACGGGCCTACCTGTTCGGGCAGGTGAAGAACCGTGTGCTCGCCAGCGCTGAAGTGTGACAGAGATTGATAGGCAGCCTTTGCTACAACCGAGTCCTGGGTAGGAAAAAGGTAAGACAAAGAAAAGAAACAACGTATAATAAACAATGTATAATAAACAACTCCCTCTCCACCCTCAAAGTTCTATGGTCAGTGCTCCAGGAACGGTATTAACTTGCTTAATCCATCCCAATTGAAAATGGAGAGAAAAGCATTGGGTAGAGGGATCAGAAGCACTAGGATTTGTACCCTAGTTTGGACATTAAACATAAAGTAATGCATAATCTCAGGACCCCATGACGTAGTAGGGCTTAGTGGAAGGGGGCTCAGGGGCTAGAGTCTGATAGGCCTGGAACTGGATTCTGATGCTCCAGCTCCCAGCAGGGAAAGCTGGCCTTTGGGAATCTAAGCTTTTTCACTTATGATTCGGATACATCACCCACACCCTCTTCGCTATACTCCTTATTGGAAACAATATTTTAAAAAATGGACTGGGTGGTTGCTTGTTTGGTATGCTTGCTGAGGGGGGAGGGACAAAGAAGGAAAGGGAAGGATCATTAAAAATATGAGACAATGGCAACTGTCCCTCTTCCGACAAATGTCAGCTTCACAAAGTAGTACGTGCACTTCATGGTGAAAACGCCTTAATTAGAGCAAATTGAGAATACATTTTAAAGTCTAAACTTGTGAATAGCTGCAATTCTTTTAAAATCAAGGAGCCATCATTTCAAGGGCGTCCCCTTTTTATTCTAAGAACCTTATTTGGTAGTTCCTTCCCCAGCCTGGCTCTGTGTCAGGGACACCCCTTGTGATAGTACCTTGTTCTGAGTGTGAGTCCAGAGGAAGCTGAGGACTTGAACTTTGAAATTCTGGAAAAGTCAAAATACACAGAGTAAAATTTTAAGACAAAGATAAAACCAAGAATAAACATCTAAAGTAGCAAATAGTAGAAATTAAATCACCTTAAAAGTTATACCCCTACTAATTGACTTAACCTGTATTTACCCACCATTCATAAAATGAAAATACTTAGAAACAGACTCATCACTTAGATACATGGATATTTTAAATACAATGGGATTTTAAGATTATTAAATTTAGAAACCTAACCATTTCCTACTGTCTTATCACATGATCGAAAACATGAAAGGGACTAATATTGGAATATGATAGAGGGGTGGTTCATCAAAATCCGTGACTCAAACTAAAAGTCCGCCAAGAAGTAAAAATCAATTGCTGCTCTTTGAAAGAAAAGGAAAAAAGATGAACATGGAAGGGAATATGGCCACAAAAGAGGAGGCATACATGAATTCAACACCTTCTCTATTTCACTCACAGAAGAGATAACTGAAGGAAACGTTAAACAGGAATTTTGACTCTTACAGCAAAGCATCTTTCACCAAGTTTTTCAATTCATTAGGATGACAAACACAGAGTCGTCATAAAATTACTTTCCTCTTCTAAGATGGGTTGGTTGTATAATCATCCTCATGGAAGAGTATACATGAAGGTGACAGATGTATGTAGAAAATGTGAACTAACATGTAAAAACCAAATCTCTATGGCAAAGCTAGGAGCAAACTGACAATATGTCTATAGTAATGGAAGATTCTTTGTACATTTTTTAGAACTTAAAACACGAACAAAAGAAATTTAAACTGTTGGTCTGATGAATTCTATTATTTTCAAAACACTTTCTAACATGCTGACTTTCTAAAATCTTGACTATACCTTCATAATAAAAACTTGGTATCCTTTCTGTAAATGAGTCTTAAAGGCTCAGAATTGATAAGTGTAGATTTCCTCCCTACTCCTGAGGGTCCATACAGATATCAACATGTTCTCAGAACAAAACATGCTAAAGGATTTGGGGAAAGAATTACAAATATTTTATCCAAAAGTTATTAAAAAGCACACGTCTTTCCAGTGTAGAAACAGACAATGTCTTGAGCTCCAAACGCATACCTCGTATTCAGCTGTGTTGACGGTTAGGGAAGGAACCAGAGAAAACAGTTCACTGAGCGTCTTCAAAATGAGAGGTCTGGTGTCACAGCTCAGCTTCGGGGAGAGAGCGTTCCAAGTGGAGCGAATACAAACAACCTGTGAAGCAAATCAAGAGTGAATGCCCAACGAGATTTCACTTCCTAAGAAGCCATTAGTAAAGACCACTATCTTTTTCAAAAATTTTTTTATTTTTTAATTACAGTTGACATTCAATATTATATTAGCTTCAGGTGTACAACATAGTGGTTAGACGTTTATGTAACTTAGAGGTGATTCCCTCAGTAAGTCTAGTACCCTCTGGTACCATACATAGTTATTACAATATTATTGACTCTACTAGGCTGCACTTTACATCACCATGACAAGAGTACTATCTTTTATTATAAGGAGATTCGAGAAAAGAACAAGAACATTCCTAGAAGTTAAGATTTCATAAGGTACTGCCCTCAAAAGAAATGATTTAAACCAATGTAATAGAAACTGTTGTGGAAGAAGACCCAGCCTGCCTCATACAATTGCTTTCTTGCAAGGAGAAAAAATCTCTCTCTTTCTCCCGCCCCCCGCCCGCCCCCTCTCTCTCTCAGGCACACACTTGAAATTAAATTCCAGATTAGCTACCTTCATTGCTGAGAAGCAGTCTCTGAAACACAGAAGGGTAAGCTAATGCTAGGACATCTCTAAGGCCAGGTGTCCACAGTCCTGGCAGTTTCTCAGCACTGCCGAAACCACAGCACCACCCGGAAAATGGGGAGGCTACTATCTATAAATTGAACACTCTCAAATCATCTTACAAGCTTTTAAAGAAGGGAGGAGAATAGTTATATTATTTAAAATAATAATTTAAGACTTTGTTTTAAAAGTCATCTCAGATTTTTTTAGGAGGCTAAGAGATCAAGTAAAAACTAAAGCCTAAGAAAAATGTTTAAGCCCAATTTCCTTAAAGCAAGTGTTCTCAGTTCATTTTAATATCTGGTTTTATGGATATTCACATGTCTTTGTAAGTTTAATTCCAACTACAACAGATGAGTTCTTCACTTATAGATATTTTATTAAATTTTTAAAACCCAGGCAAGAACAGTGCCAACACAGATCAATTAGATAGAGTTGAACAAGGATTAATCTTTCTAAAACACTCCAACCTCTTAAGCTTGAATTAACACACACAATTTATCTCCATCTACACATATAAATTATTTAGAAAAGCTACAGGAGGTAGTCAGTGGAAAGATGTCAAAGACAAATGAATAATATAGACTTAAGAACACAGATTAAGGAGAGGTTCAAAGAGAAGACAGAGGAAAGTATCACAGAAAACTTAGATTTAGTGCTTTTGCTCTTTTTTCTACTTTCCATGAAACAGTAAAAAAAAAATTGGATTCCAGTAACATATACTAAGTTAAGAGCAGTAACATATACTAAGTTAAGAGCAGTGCTACGTGCAAGGCATGACAGTAGGCACATTTATACAAAGTAGTAGCTCTAATATTACAAAACACACAATTCCTTAAAAGCTTTCAATTCAACATTGAATCTATAACCAGAGTAGTTAGTATACAGCACTAAGAGGAACAATAAAATAGAAAACATAACCTAAACCTTCACAGAACTTAGCACCTATTAAAAAGAAAGAGAAGTGCATGTAATTCTAAATTATCAGAAAACAAAAGGTATATGATTAGATATTGAACTCTGTTCAACAGAAAGTAGTTTCAAGAGGAATCTAAGGAAGAAAGATATCAGTAGATGGGAGTCATCAGAGTATCGAGGCAGTATTGAGATGGGACTTGAAGAAGGAATGGACAATCCTTCTTCAGCAGAAAACCCACTGGGAAATGGAAAGCTTAAGTCAGAATCCATCCCCAAAACGCATGTTGTAGGCACAAAAAGCATGTGTAACAGCGAGGAAAGGCTCGTGGGTCAGAGAGTACCTGGAATGTCAAAGAGTCTGTACTAGAATCAAAAAGAAAAGGCAGCCGCTAGAGATATCTGAATTGGGGAATAAATAAAATTAAAATGCTACTTTTGAACGATTCATCGGGTAGTGCCAAAGTCAGAGCAGGCATCCACCCCTCTCTCTCGAATTCCCATCTCTCACTAGTCCCTAACACATAAGGAGCCTCAAAGTTTTTTTTAAAAATCATATGCATAATATACTCACTAACTGTCTGTGCTTTCTCCTCACTTTAAATGCCTATCCAGTTCCAATCTATGTTGTTTCAAGACCCACTTCAAACTCCACTCCCACAATTAAGTTTCTCTTACAATTCAGGCTCTCATTTTATTACTTTCTTTCCTCCAATTTCTAACACTTAAAACTCTGTCACCCAACTTAGCATTTAATTATATACTGTCTAGTGTTGTTCACTATTTTCGAGAATGTAAATTGTCTCCTCAACTAGATAGTAAACTCTTCAAAAACAATGACCTTGTCTTATAAGTCTCATTTCCTAGTACTAAGCACAGTGGTAAGTAAATAACATTATCAGTACTTAACTACTGATAGCACTGGAACCTGAGGCCTGGTAAAGCTAAAGTGAAGATTAAAACAAATAAAAAAACTTGGATAATGAATTGGAAAGTGGGATATTTTTGGCCCAGAGACATGAATAAAATGTAACATTAAAAAAGAAGGGGAGTGGTCGTTCATGGCCATTCTTAGTTGGTGGAACAATTTGCCTGGTTAATTCCAATAACAAACTAGACTCTGGCATACTAACTAGTTATGTGACCCCCGAGCACTATGGAAAACAGTAGGAGTTTCCTCAAAAATTGAAAATGGAACTGCTATTTGACCCAGTGATCCCACTTCTAGGAATATATCCTAAGAAACCCAAAACACCAATCAGAAAGGATATATGCACTCCTATGTTCATAGCAGCGTTGTTTACAATAGCTAACATCTGGAAATAGCCCCAGTGCCGATCAGTAGATGAGTGGATAAAAAAGCAGTGGTGCAGTTACATCATGCAATACTATGCAGCTGTAACAAAGAAGGATCTCTTACCCTTTGAGACAGTATGGAGGGACCCAGAGAGTATCATGCTAAGCAAAATAAGCCAGTCAGAGAAAGATATGTATCAGATGGTCTCACTCATCTGTGGAATTTTATGAACAAAATAAACTGATGAACAAAATAGATCCAGAGACTGGAGAACCTTAGAGGGAAGGCAGGTTGGGAGATATTAACCAGGGAACTTACAGACTTATATGAATAGCACTGACACAGACAATTTGGTGAAGGCCTGGGAGGGGGGTGTGAGGTGAAGGGGGAAAGTGAGGAGCATCTGTAACACTTTCAACAATAAAGATGAGTTTTATTTAAAAAAAAGGGAAAACTAGAAAAGGGAGCATATTTACAGGAGACGGGGTCTGAAAAGTTCTATTTGATATATGTTCTGCACATTACCCAATAACTTGTTTGTTTTTTAAAAAAACTGATTGACTTCTGTTCCAGCAATATGATGGGCCACACTTGCAATGATTGATAAAGTTCTATACATATATGGCTTAGCTGAAAAGAAAAAAAAAAATGGGGGTATTACCTAGGGCTAGAAACAAAGAGAAAAACACCTGTACTGAGGTATTATAAGGAAGTTATCAGTTTCTATAACCTAATAGCTTGTGTTCAAATGCCCACACGGAAAGGATAGGGCCTTTAGCCTTCATAAGGCAGGAGTTGGAACGCAGACCCTCACATAAAGCCAGCACTCTTGCATGGCAATACCCTTGGTGAAATGGTTGAACTGGAAACCACTGAGCTGAGAAATTAATATGAAAAATGGCAGTGAGTTGGGGCCACCTGAACCACTCCCGAAGGGTACTCCCATAACACATAACCCAAATTTATGCACACAGAAAAATAAATTAAACCCCTCTAAAAACGAGGTCATGACAAAAGAAAAAGTTCAAAACATAGAATGATGCATGAGTCCAATCTGAGTGAGAATCAGCACAAACAACTAGCAGGATAGACATCCACGACCTTCAGATAACAGAACAAGTAGAAAGCAGCACAAAAGCACTTAAAAGAATTAGAGATGAAAACACATTTAATTCCCAGTAAAATAACAGGGCATGATGGAGAAAAGGCAAATCTGGCAAAGAATCAAATGGAATCTCTACAAGTAAAAAATACAGTCACTGAAACTATGAATCCAATGAATAGGGAGTATCCTAAGTATAAACCAGAGAGATTAGAATTCTAAAATATAAAAAAGGAAGTTCAAAGTCATATATCTTTGAATGAGGTGTCTTTGTTATGTTCACCAAGAGTTCCTAGGAGAGCTTAATTTTAAATGGCTTTTAGAGAAGTGGTTGGTTCCAGGGCTGGGATAGGAAAAAGAACACGTCTGGAGAAAATCCTGGTGCCAAAAAGTAAGGAAGTGTGCATAGAATGAGGTGAACTTGTTGAAAGGGCACAGAAGCCAATGTGAGAGCTCCCAATGGCCAAATTAATATCCACGAGCCTACACTAGTATAAATAATTCAATGAGTGAGGGAATAAAAGAGAAGTAACAGTTCTTCCTTACAGAAGAATTCCAATTAATAAATGTAGAAGCAATGAAAGAAATAAAAAATCACCATTAGACAGACACCAGAGGAATAACTGTTGTAGGCAAAATGTGCTGATGAATGTTGAAATTAGTGGGCAAAAGTTTTGAGGACAAGCAGGATGACAATTAGATAGTCTCAAAGTCTCTCCTGTGAGACATTTATTATTTACAAAAGAAAAAATAGTAATATGCTATAGAAAAACTCAGGATACATCACCTTAACCAACTAACTAAGGTTAACATCACCAGTAATAAAACTTATCAACATCATGCACCCCTGATAAGACATACTGAGAAAGGCATATTATTTCTGTAATATTCTAAAATACGACATCTAGTCATGAGGAAACATCTGTATACCCAAACCAAAGGACATTTTACAAAATAACTAACAGGACTCTTCAAAAGCGTCCAGGTCGTGAAAGCAAAGGAAACGGAGAAACTGGTGTAGACTGGAAGACTGAGTACACATGACAACTGGAGTCATGGCACAGTGAAAAGTCATTAGTGGGAAAACTGATGAAATCTGAACACAGTCCACAG